GAGTGAGAGTGTGTGTGTGTGTGTGTGTGTGTGTGTGTATATGTATAACCCTTTTATGATATTTCAGAACAAATGCATAAATATCGATACTGAATACCATCTCCCTTTTATATCACCCAGCTATAAATGTACGTAGATAGTCAAATGCAACGGTATGTTAAGGGGCGGTCACACTGCACTTCTCGTTCCGTTGACTTCCGTTCAAATGCATGCGAATGCGTCAGACCGGAAACGCAAGCCCGTGCGAAAAGTTTCGCATTTCGCTGCATTGCAAAGTTCAAGCTTGGTGAACTCTGACCTGCAAATTCGCATCACGTGACACCGTGTGACCAACAGCCGATCGATACTTAACAGCATGACCTCGCAACTGAATTAAAAGAACAAATTTAAAACTGCAGCGCTGCAGGAAAGTGGATTAGATTGCATAGATTTACATTTTAGATGTATTATAATTTGTTGTGTGTTGAATTTAAGTTTTTTAAAAGATGAATATCTCTACCGTTGCAAACAATTTCACGTGCTCAAAGTCTAGTGTGACCACGGCTTTAGGAAGCAGAAAGCTTCTACACAAGCTTCAACATTTTTAAGGCAATTTTAGAGATCTTTTAAGGTCATGAACCTTTCAGAAAAGACGATGAGCCAATCACACGAAAAAGTTCCAGTCGTTACTATTCAGCGATTACAAGTCTGGCCATCATGCACTTTTAATGAATGTCCACCTCAGTCTTCATACTGCATAAAAGCAATTACACGATCAAAGCAAAGCCAGACTCTGAAATATCAGTCAGTTTAGGAAAGGCAGTGTCCGGTTGCTTTTTTACCCAAGCTGCACCAGATACTTCGAAATGACCAGGACAAACTATGCATAACACTAAAAGAGCTAAATAGATTTTGACATTTCGGAAGAAAATGTGAATACCAAGCATTTTTATAAAAAAGTACTTAAACACTCAGAACATCTATATATAATAAATTCATCCCAATATGCCCTGAAAGTACATACTCTTTTTGTGAAGAAAAAGTATATACTTTTAAGTGTGTAGCAGAAGAGTAGGCAAGATTTGGGCCATATGACTTCGTCACAGCTGCTTTAATGGAATGCTCTGTTGCTTAGTTCCATGCATTCCTTCGCCAATTAAACTGCCCTGTCAATCATCTTGACACAGTTAACATCTTCAATACTTAGTTTCATTTACATTCTTACTGTATTGGAGAGAAATGTAGAGGCGTGCTGATCTGCCAGTCACGTGTCTTTCATGCCGAGAACACTCCTTATGTGTTTACATGATGCATTTAAAGGTTAATGACCAAACATATCTTTATAAACTTCTTTACTGAACCGCCAGTCTCTCATATCCACCATGTTTGTAGTTTTTTTTTTACACGTTTTATTTGCATTTGTAGTTCTAATCGAATCCACGTCCAATGCACAATGGGTGGCCCATATTAGCAGAGTGTGCAAGGATCTGAATTTTCACAGGAAAAACTAAAACATCCAGGTTTACATATACCTTTGATTTGGTACACACTGATCTATTTTCAAATACTAATTAGAATGGATAGTATGCCAATTGGGATGCAGCTTTTTAAAAGTGCTTTTTAGAATGTTGCTATGGTGTTCTCAACACTTTTAGCATGTTGCTATATGGTTGCTATAGATTTCTGAGTGGTTTAAGTAAATTGCTGAAACAAAAAACACCAAAATTTTTAATTCACAAAGAAATAGGATAAACTTTCACAGACGAGAAAGTGTTGGTTTGTGTTTTTAATGTACTTAATCAATATTACAGGTTTTAAACCATGGTAATTTTTAATGCTGTGTTAACTAACAGCTTTTTCTCGTTGTATTGTCTTACTTTAGCAAAATCTTCTGCTGAAGTCTACTGCAGATATAGATATTCATGAAAGTATTTGTAAAACTCATACCTGGTGGGTCCATGAAGTCAAAGTGCACTAGGTCATCGATACCAAGCTTCTTGAGCTGTAGCACCACAGAGCCCAAATTCGACCTGAGAATCTCAGGGTATGTGTTGTCCTGACAGGAAAAGGGAGGATACACAGAAAGAAAAAGAAAAATTGACATGGAAATTTGCCTTGTTCTATGTACAAAAAGGGGGCTAGAAGTGACCATAAGTACTAAAGACTTGAAGGAACCAGGGTCATCTGCTGATCGACCAAAACACGATCCAACCAATTTCACTGGCGTATAATAAAATCAGAACAAGTGCGCTTCCCAGATGCCTGCAGCAGTTATGATTGGTTTCACAAACCTGCATCTCAGTCTTGTAGGCCTTCTCGGTGTAGAGCCGGAAGCACTTTCCTGGGCGCGTACGTCCAGCACGGCCGGCTCTCTGCTGGGCCGAAGCCTTACTAATAGCCGTTACGAGCAGCGACTCGACTCGAATGCGAGGGTTATACACCTGTGCGACGAAAAGGAAAGAGCTGTGTGAATAATAAATGCACACCATAGCACCACAGCAATATGCCAAAGCTAGGCCATCCTTCATCTCTGACTGGACTACATGTATGACAGCAGCAGCTGGGCTAGGGAAATGTCAGCAGAATAAATAACTAGCTTTTCCATCTCGAGTCGCTGTCAGAGCCCCGCCACTGGGTTTATCTGGGGATTTCAGAGGCAAGAGAAACAGATGATGGGGTGAGATTAGACAAGTGAGGCAGAGGAGAGAAGACTAACCTTTTGCTTGGCAAAGCCAGGATCAATTACAAACACCACGCCATCGATGGTCAGGGACGTCTCAGCGATGTTTGTAGAAACCACAACCTACGAGAGCAGAAACAATACGATCAAACTGACCGGACAGCTTTTATCACACACAAAAAAGCACCTTAAAAACGAACAAAAGAGCCCATAATCAATTCTCTAAAACACAAAGTATACTTTGCGCATACTCTAGCATACACATACAAAAACAAAGTCAAGATTCATATCTGTCAAGTCTCTGCACTGTTTTTCCAGAAGTTATGACTGATAAAAATATCTTTGTAATCTTTTCAATTAAAGTTGCGGCTATCATAACCTTGTCAGTCCGGGTGTCTGTTGCAGTTTTCAGTATTCTGTTGTTGTTCTCTTTAGTTTTGTTTTCTATGATGAAAAAACAGCCCGGGCCAGTAACTGATTACATTTAATCCGGATTACATAATCAGATTCCAAAAATCGAGTACTCGCAATTAGAGTATGTTACATTTTATAATGCTCATAATCAGATTACAGTTACTTTTTATGGATTACATGATTACATATTCACACAATGGCAGTAAATCATTCAGAATCTGATTCACCCTAATTCTTCTTTTAAATGGATTCCCAAACATTTTTGTCAGCTAAAACCACTTTGACATGAAATATTTTCTTGAAATATCTCTGAGGAACTTAATATTTCAATAATTTAACAATACATTTGCAAGTTTACATATTGATACATCACTGAATGGTCACATTGACATGCAGGTAAACTAATTAAATATTTCTACTTTAGTGTTTAATTAATGATTAACTTTCTATCAATTCACAAAACCATTGTATTGTTCTTATATTGAGCCCAGTTTAAGAACCTCTGGTTTAATGTAATGTTTACTGCATTTAATGATTATTAAAAAGGAATAGCCTATATTTTCTTTCTCTTCGCTTTTTTATACCAATATGGTACTCTCAATAGTAAGTTTAAAACAAGTTAGATAAAATGTCATCTAAAAGTAAATAAAAAAAGCAGTCAGAATACATTACCTAAAATTAGTAACCTAGATCATGTAATGTGTAATCAGTAATGGATTACAATTAGTAAGTAATGTACCCAGCTCTGGTTGCCACCTTGTGGAACAACTGATTAGTGCAAAAATTCAATGCACATGTGCGACCTGTACATACCAAGTATTTGCAGTTACAAAAATTGTGTGGTGCATGTACAGTACGCACATACTATTCTGGTACAAAATTTGCATCATGCACACTGTACAAGTATAATTTGGCCTTTAGATTTTCTGCTTTCTACACATGGCTCATGTCCATTTTTGCCACATTTCAAAATGTCTTAAGATTTATAACACTTTAACCAAGTTGCACAATTTGAGACATCATTCATGCCAATCGCACAAGTGGTGGAGGACAAGTAATGTTGAATATTTATCCTAAAGGGTTTATTCAAATCTCTAACCTCTCTCTACACCAGCAGGGTGGCTTTTTTTTAGCACATTTCATTGGTGATTAGACAGTTCTGCACTGCTCTGGGCAAACCAAAAATCAAATTAAAAGGAAAAAGTTCTGTGGTAACTGGAGAGGGGTGAAAAAAAAGGCAAAAAAATCAGTGGGAATTAAATCCTTAAAGACACTTCAGTGAGCTGTCGCAAGCTGTAAGACTAATACAACCCAACAGGGGAGTAAGGCAACAGTTGCTGCAATCAAGTCAAATCGGGAGTGTGCTGGCTGAGCCGGACGGCTTTCCACAGAGCAGCCCGTCCAGACACATTACTACTGCTCTTTTTGGCGGCAAGATACATGTCTGTGCACAGCATGCAACCATCTTCCCCTCCCTAGAGAAGCCCACCTCTAAGAAACTCTATTATTCATGCCACGTCTCGCTCCTTCACTCTCTCTCTCTGTCCCTTTACAGTACAGGTGGCCTTCATCATGTGTGCTAGTGACATATTAAATAATTTTCGAGCTAGAGACCGTGGACCGTCTTTGATACGCTGAGATGACAGTGTCCGAGAAGCTTCGGAACAGCTTTATAACACTGCATAGGTAAGGGTTGCTTACTGTCCCCAAGTCAAAAGAGCCAAATGCTGGTCATGAATCACAGGACGAGAAACATCAATCCAAGTCAAGTCAGACGTAGGACAGAGTCTCTCGATAATTTAAAGGTTTGCTTTGTGTAGTGTGCCAGAAAAAATGAGCAGCCAACGGAGCTGTAGCTGGACGTCATCGATGGACAGAGAACTATGGAGGTGTGAGGCGCACATTCACAGATAACAATGGTTTTGAATGTTTTTCGCATGCTATGAAGTTAATGTAGCGAAAGCAGCTACAGATCTTTTCTTAACAGATTCTTTTCAAGAGGACTTGGTTCTGAGCATCAGTTGTTGATTGGATGGAGGCAGATCTGAATGTGAGCCCGCAGTCAATTGTAATAAAGGGATGGGGTTTAACCCTTGTGTTGTGTTCAGAACCCTTTCACACTAACGAGGTTACAGAGCAAAAAGGACCCGGCCTCAAAAATTGCTTATAAATCACTCATTATGCTATATTATCACCAAAGATTGGATTCAATCTTTTTGTCAACTTCTTTTCTTTCATTTAGGACTGGTTTTGTATTTATATTTGCTTCTGAGACTAAATGACTGGAAAAGCCTGGTATACGTCAACAAAAAGACTGCCACTTCATTGGAAGATCGAGTTATACCTTTTTGAGCAAAAACTGTAAAAGCAAAACAAATTCATGGATAAATCCATTCAAAAAGATCAATAACATGCATTTAGAAAATGGATAGGATAAATTGCCATTTCATGCCAACTTAAGATTTGAAAAGTATCCTAAATGAAATTTCAATGGTAACAAACAAAACATGCTTCCCTTAAAACAAATAGAGAATTTTTCAAATATCTTACAGTAATACGCAATCTGTGCTTTAATTCATGCCTACAGCAGAAACAAGCTCCAAAGTTTAATTAAATAGGTTAGGTTTGTTTAAATAACCTAAGTGCTTTGGCAAGCCCTACCAAAAAGTTTTTGCAATGTAAATTGAGTTTCATAAAACGTCCTGGCCCCTATTACTAACAGAAAACAAACAAACCTCATATTTCATGTAATTCAGCCTCCTCAACTGCCTTTGAGGCATTTAAATCCTACTTTTATAAGTGGATTTCTCTTCAGCCACAAATGTTTGGCTTGGTTTGGTAATGCAGCAGAGGGTCTATTCATGGAGCCTTTGACCTGATGTAATTCAGCTGCTGAAAAGAATCATCTGCCTATATATTCATGGAAAGGCTGGGAGAATTCACTGAAAAAAGGCCATCTGGAGTCTGGAGAAAGAAATGAGGGTTCCTAACCAGTCTGCATCCTTTCAGAAAATAGACCACCTGGGAAAGACCTTTGAGATGAAATATATTCCAGAGCGGTAGCCATGGAAATTATCGAAAGGTGAGCACCACTGGAATGAGTTGCACAGCAAAAACACTAAATGCATTACCAGTACTTAGTCATACTCATTGAACTGTGAGGTGTTGAGAAATTGCATCTTTTAGGAGGCAATGATCCATGCGCAAGTGGTCTGGAAAAAAAAATAGGCGGGTTGACCGAACAAGGCTAATGCCAGCAACATTTCACTTGAACAAGTGCAATTTCAATTCTCTCCATTGAGTCTCTCATTCAATGTTCCTTGTTTGTTAAAAAACTAAGGCAGACACATACACTATACGTCAAAAGAATAAAAGGAAAAAAAAAAACGTAATATTGTAAAATATCACAATTTAAAGCAATTGTTTTATATTTGAACAAATCTTTTGTTAAAAAACTAAGGCAGACACATACACTATACGTCAAAAGAATAAAAGGAAAAAAAAACGTAATATTGTAAAATATCACAATTTAAAGCAATTGTTTTATATTTGAACAAATCTAAAATGTAATTTATTGCTGTGATCAAAGCTGAATTTTTAGCATCATTACTCCAGTCTTCAGTGTCACATGATCCTTCAGAAATCATTCTAATATGCTGATCGATGCTCAATTATTTATATAAGTTCTTATTAATGTTGAAAACAGTAACATTTTCATGACTCTTCGATGAACAGAAATTTAAAAAGAACAGCATTTATTTGAATCAAATGTTACTTTTGATCAATTTACTGCATCCTTGCTGAATAAACTTTTTTTTACCTCAATCTTGAATGGTAGCGCATTACCGTTTCCACAAAATATCACACAGCAAAAACGGTTTCTACATTGATCCCCTATGTTTCTTGAGCAGCAAATCAGCATATCAGAATGATTTCTGAAGGATCATGTGGCACTGAAGACTGGAGTAATGATGCTAAAAATTCAGCTTTGATCACAGCAATAAATTACATTTTACAATATATTAAAAAAGAAAACCGTTCTTTTAAATAGTAATATTATAGTTTTACTGTATTTTTGTGCTGCTATTTAGGTAACTAGCTATAAACACGCTGACAGTTTAACATTGTTTTGCGAGATTCTCTTCAAACGGTTTCTCCACCATGACAGCAGTTGCCCAGTCGTTAACATTTCATATTCACAAAGATAAGCGAGACCCTGCCTTCAATCACGCTGAATTAAAAGTAACTATGGAAGCCATCGCAGTCGCAAACAAGCCGAGACGGCTCCTGTCTGTCTAATTCTGTATTGAATGAAAAAAGACATTTCGTCAGAAATAGCACAATTTCATTGTACCTCTGGGTTTTAAGCAGCACGAGCGGAAGGAGCTCCAAACATTATCATCATTACCGGGCTGCATCGACAACCCGTTAAAACTAATGGACTCGTCTTCAAATTAAAACAGACATGCTTTATGACTTCGCTTAGAGCGGACAGTAACATATCAGATGTTTTAGGCACAGACATGGTCTCTCTATCAGGTTAGATGGGTCTTAAATATCCATGTAGACGACTTTCTGCCCAGATACAGTTATTAAGAAGCTAGATTTGCCACCCAATGTTAAGTGCAGGTATTCATTAAGGATTGTTTTAGGTGGTTAACACACACAGCCTCACTTCTCCTTAATTCTTCCATAACCCTCCATTCCCGCAGTCAGCACAAGGGAGATCTTACCACATCCCAATTAACTCCAGGATCAACAAGAAAGTCGCTGCCGAAATTTGCCACAGTCCTCGATTTCCCTACATGTGACTGCTGAGAGTCACGTGAAGTTAAATCCCATCTAATAAATCCATGCTTCAGCAGTGCAGAAGGGCTGCCGGATTTGTCCTGAAGGAGGATGTGACTGCACAGGTGCGGATCTCACAATATCCACACACACACACACATCCCGTATCTGCCAAAGGTGGCTTATATGCATCGCATTTAATATATGCCAGAGGGTGTGAAGAGTTGACAATTTTACAAGGTAATCTGAGAGCCTGTCCTTATGTACTGCTGCCACTGAAGGACAGAAAAGCAAGGTGCCAAAAAAACTCAATTCAAGACACTGTACAGTTACCTCATCCTCAAAAAATGACTTTTGCTGTTTGTTTACATTGCTTTAAAATGAGCTAATGCAACAAATCTTGAACTTTGTCACAATTTAATGTCATTGCCTAATCCATTTAAATGTTACATAAGTTAACTTAATCATATATAGGTATCACTTATTGTTGAGATAAACTGGGCAGTAGATCTGTAGTTTTCAGCATGCTTTGCATAGGACTGCATTAATAGAGTAAATATTGAAATAGTGTGTAATTTTGCACTTTTCAGAAAAGTGAATTACTTTTAGGGTTTAATGTTCAGTTAAACAGAATGTTTATTACAGTTAAATAAAATGAAAACTACATTATGAAAAATTACTTAAACGTTAACTGAAATCAAATATACAAAGGCAACACGTCTCATTTTCATTTAGTCTAACTTGAAGTTCTAAAAATAACACACTGATATACAAATTCATAAATTAAATAGATATAAAAAAGACAACTAATAAAAATGACAAAAATAAAAAAGCTAAAACGGAGAATAGAAAAAATAAAAACTCCAAATATTAATAAAAACAACACTAGTATCTCAATAACACAAAATTAACACTGGTTCGTTCAAGTTGGTGTTGTATTGTGGACCTTTTGCATGGAAGATTCTTAATTTAATAAAGTTCATTAAACAAACGATTTTTTTAGTGCATGGAAAGTAGAGAATCATCGTTCGTTACTTTGTTACTAGTTAATCAGAGCTTTTGACTAAAAAAATATATCGTTACATTTTTTTTTTAAATACTACCGTTTCATTCATTTCTATAAAATATCACTGATTGCAACAAAAACAATTATTGTGAACATAGTTTGTTTCCTTTTTTTAATCAAATAGAATGTTTCTGAATAATAAGCAGTTCTCTGTTCCCAACATTAGTTTGCATCAAAGGGGTTGCAGCATATTCACATCAGCCCCTGAATCCATGTCCACTTTCATTTTCTTCTGAACAGCGCAGGCAAACAGCGGCGGATGTTTGAACTTCTGAAGCAGCTTATGCCCGGGCTTACGCGTAATCAAACCTCTGAGAAACCCAGAGCCTCTTTAAACATGGAAGTGGTCAGGGGAGAGATGAAATGACACAATGCCCCAGTGGAGGGTGATGGACGAGGTAGATACTTGATATGTGAAGCAGGCGGATGCTGATGCTGTTCAGGACATCAAGACACAAACCTGGCATGCAGCTAAGACTTTGTTGCAGCTACAAATACAGCCATCATGTTGAAGGAACAAGAATGCGGAAATTTGCAGTTCAGTGAACACTTGCATTCGTTCATTAGGACATCAGTAATCTTTGCCTGGAAATAATGACAAGCGGAGCCGATTCTGTAGGGGAGCGATGACTCATTAATCAACTCCTCATCAGATGTTCAGCTAAATGTTTGCAAACTCATAGCCGCTGATCAGATGTGATATTCTGTCAGATCTTCGGCCAGTCATGCAGGAGGTCCAGGTGCTTTTCACATCGTAACTGTCAGGCTTGTTTGAGAGATGAAGAAGTGAAATGGGAGTAGAGAAAACAAAAGAGCGATTGCGTCTGCACAACCTCCTGCTAAGGATGACAGACAATGAAAGACACTTTACAGTGGATGAGCTCTGATAAAACATCTAGAGCGAATTTCATTTTTTCAAAGCCAACATGCCAAAATTGCCAAACGACCATATTCAAGTCGGGAAGCAGAACAGGAGGGAGTGAAAGCAAACCGTCCAAAACAGACTCGAGAAAAACAGTACTGCTCCAAAACTTTTCAAACGATCGAAGGATGAGTCATTTTCCTTTCTAAAATTAGAGAAAAGAATCATATGCTGACAAAAGCAACATATGCTATGAGTCATTGCTTTACCAAAGCTAAAGATGGAAGGAGAGAAAAAAAGAAAACCTAATTTCCAACATTCCTTGTTCCTCATCCTTCCCTCTACTGACAGACTTGAGTCATTCTCTCATCCTCTTCTTTCTTTAAACGGATTGAAGATGCTACTATAGCTGTGCCGATACAATCACAGCAATATTTTGATTCTTTGATACCATACTCCACTGACAAAAGTGAAAGGGGTAGTTCAACAAAAAAAAATTATATATAAATAAATATATAAATATATAATGTGCACTACCATGCCAACGTGCTACTGTAAACAAAAGCTCAAAATGCTTGCTCCGCCTCCGGGATCTTTTGATTGGCTCAAAGTTCTTGAACTGACATTGATGAGCGGCGCTTCGCCTTGACACGGCGTCTTAAAAACGTGGTGCCATGTGCGAGAAGCTGCAAAAAACGCAAGCGCAAGGGTCATACATCCGTCTAGCACGCGTTTACACAGAACAGCAATGGAAAAGTGGTGCATTGGAATGGAAAAACACATTCAGTGTGAACGGCCCCTTATGGGTTTGGAACTTTTGTCTGTGGAATATTCTATCAAAGAATTTGAAATATCTCTTGAACCAAGCCACGTTAGAGGGACTAAAAGCAATACCCTTCTAGGAATTCTGAGTTTGTCGCAGTTTAACCCTCTCTTAAGATCTTGTGATGATCACGATGTATTGAGACACATGTACGATGTTGATCTTTACCTTTCTGCCGATGGCTCCGCTGGGTTTGCGGGGAGGAGGCGGCTCGAAGATCCTCTGCTGTTGCTGTGGTGGCAGCGTGGAGTAGAGCGGGATGATTTTGATGTCGCCAACATCAGGGCCGAGATCGTCAATCTCACGTTTGATCCGTTTGCAGGCTTCGTCGATTTCCTAGAAGGTAAAAAGACTGATGTTAGAGACCACAGACCGAGAATCAGGTGCAAAATTAACGCCTGCCGAGTACAAAAAGACATTTTTAGCAAGTAAATTCAATAGAATTAACATATTAGGAACTGCAACATAATACAAGGAATAAATGCCAATGACAACTTTTTAAACAAACTAGGCTCGTTGGAAAAATGTGTCCAAAAACATACCAATACATACAATTCTCTGCAGGTTCCAGCTGGAATAAACACTAGTGGCAGTAAAACACCAACATCGTATTCCTTTTCACATTAAATATGATTACAAGGCAGATTATCAGACTTATTTTTGCACAGTTCCTTGCAAATTACTATGTTATGAGCTAAAAACACTTAACATTATGCGTGATTTGTAAACTATTAAATTTTTTGGCTCACTGGACATTTCACTATGAAAGTGTCACGAAACCTGCAAGAAGCAACATAACAGCAGAGATGTCATGTTTTTCCAAAGAATCTTGGTTGTTTTATGAAAGTTTAGTCTAGAATGGCAAGTTATTTCCTCCAGATCTCCATTTGGAAACAAAAGCCACCAAATAAAAACTAGAACATATTTTTAAGGATGATTCAACTGTTTTTGTCCATAGAGCAAATGCCATTAGGGTCCAATGTTGTTCAGACTTCACTGACGTAAAAAGGTTTAAACAAAGTCTTTATGTTCCATGGAAGAAAGTCAGTCATAGAGATTGGGATCGATATACTGATGACAGAATTGTCATTTTGTGCAACCTTTCCCTTTAAAAACAGGAAGCATTGGGTATGTTAATAAACAATAACAATTATTTTAATTTGCTTTCATAAGCTCCAAATCAGTGGGTTGTGTAAATCCCTCTCTTTGTCCAACTTCACCTCACATCAACTGATTTTGGATCAGCTACCCGATAAGTTCCATGTTAGCCACTTTTACAAACATCATTAACTGCTGGATCAATTCCCCCATTCTGGAAAGACAAGCACCACCGATGCTTGGGTGGTTTAGTTGCAGTACACTTGATGTGCCAGTCGTGTCAACCGAGTGAGAAAACGAACGCTGGAGTGCATGGCGTGCGTGGTGCTTGGGTAAGATCCCTATGGCTGTGCCATCAGCAGCAGTCACAAGGGCACGTGTACACTCACACGCACGCTTTATTATTCCAGATGGCAATGTAGTAGAGCTAATGTGAGATGAGAAAGCCGCAATGATGCATAACCAGGAGCAAATCACAATAGATCAGTTAAGTGAAGCTGAACGTTACAAACACTGTGGCTTGAGATCTAGAAATACGTGCCAGTCGTCACAGCAAATTAGAGATCAGAGCAGCTCAAATGCGTTTTAAAAAGCACATACTCTAGTGCAGACTTAACAAGCACGACGCACTTTACAAAAGGGAAAAAAAAAAAAAAAGTGTCAAAAAGTTCATCTAGACTACCATTACCAGTGTTCACTAAATGCCTTCTCTCACAAATCAAGAGAAATATTCACTCTGACACAAATGAAGAATGCTTAGTATTTACTGCAAAGCTTTGTCTTTTCTTCATGCATGAGCACACTGCGCTCATGACAAGTGGCACGGTCCTACTGATTTGGAAGTCAAAGCTTATGCAGTACCGCCATCCTCAGGCCAAAGTGTGCACTGCGACTTGAGCAGGAAAGAGATAAATGGTAAACAGTCAAGCAGTGATCTCTAGAAAAACTTCAGGCTGTTGTAATAAAGCATTTATGGATATCATGTCATTGCGACATCGAAAGACCCTAAAAGTCTTTTACTTGAGACCCTTTCATTGCGTATCTAAGCAGCCATAGCTGATCATTTACCCATAAAAGCATTAAAGCTCATAAGCGCGCTGATATCCCAGACACGGTAGTCCGTGCACGCACCGAATCGCTCCCTGGGGCACAATATGCGCAGAAAATGGCGCCGGTGGCCATGTGCATCTTAATCAAAGCTCTGCCACAATGGAGCAGGACAAGGCAAATCTGAATGGATTGATCAAATTAGCCAAAGTATTAATAGTCCATCAGCCCTTGGGAAGCGGCAGCTGTCAGGAGGACTACTATCCGTGCTGCCAAGGCACCGGGGAGAGAGGGACACACGGCTGTGCCAAAGCAGAAGAGCCTGCACCTGGAGCGGGACGCCAAATCGACATCCCTTGCTTCTCGCAGCGGCCACGATACAATACTGGAGGAAAATTTTTTAAATGGCTGCTTTAATCTACATGCTGCAGATGCAAATGAGCTGGCACAGATCTAAAGGAGAAAACTAATCTTAATCAGTGGTAATTTAGCCCTGATTTGAACGAGCAAAGTTGAACAAATAACCGCACCGTATCAGCAAGGGTTTTTTTCTTTTTGAAAGATCGTGTGGTTTAAAACTAATTGCTGTTTGCGGAAAGCCTATAGAGTTAAGTCGTCTATTTCTTCTGCAGAGTTTTGATGCATTAGCAGGAACCAGGAAAAGATAAAGAAGCTAAAACGAAGTGGACAAACAGTGTAAATTGCTCAACTAAAATGAGGCACCTTCATTGACCGAAAGGAGCAAACTGAGCTATTATGTGACCAGCCTAAAAACCATGTTCCTGGCCTAGATTTTAGCATATTCAATCATTCTTTAAATGGGTGAAACTATAATGGCCAACTCCACTACTGTGGTCATTAGTCTCATCACATGCTTAAGATGTGAAGCACTGCACCCTTTGAACTGCCCAAGTCCGTATGAACTCCATTAACCCAATTAAAAGCACATTAACAAGCGAATACGCATTAAAAAGCAAGATCTGCTACTACAAAGCCAAGAGATGTCCAAATAGTCAGCATGTTAGTGCGAGTTTAAGTTGTCATTTCTTTTATGTAAACATACCAATTAAAGGGATAGTTCACCCAAAAATTAATATCCTGTTGTCATTTCATATAACGTCATGTCATTCCAAACATTTATGACTTTCTTTTTCTGCAAATATTATCACGAGAGTTGGTAATCAAACAGTTTTTGTTTGGTTGTATTTTTGTCTATATTTTGTCCATACTGTTTGATCGCCAACATTCTTTAAAGTACTGTATCTTACGTTCAACAGAAGAAAGGATTTTCATTTTTGGGTAAACTATGCCTTTAAAGGTGCAGTATGTAATATTGACAGCTACCGATTGAAATGGGTACTGCAGACCAAATAAAAAATATTGGAAGTTGCTTCTTCCGCCCCTCCTCTTCAGACTCATCACTCATGCAGGTTGCCAGACTGAGGACTCGCAACCGGAATGAGCAAAATTGACAATGGAAGGCGACGAGCCTTACACGTCAAGGTGATGTGTTGAATTATCTACATTTTAATATTCCTCTGGTCATAGAGTTTTTTAAATGGATGCCGAGGCTTTTTAGGTCAAGTAAAATCTGCTATTTCTGTCCCAGTTTGTTTGCTCGCTTCCATGGCTGCAATACGCTGTGTTTACTACCAACTGGCAACCTGGGGCGTCGAAATCCAATTGGGTAAACTGGCAGTGGGTGGAGTCACACAGACCAAAACAAAAACAGACATCCCAACACAGAACACACATTGAATAACTGGCTGTACCTTTGTTTTTTGAACTTAGCGTTTCCTAAATATCTGCAAACATATGGTATTTTTACTCTTCCGTATAGTCAAAAAATACATACAGCACCTTTAAGAACGCCATATGTAGGTTGATTTTCTGTATAAACACTGATGATTTTAACGTTGCTCTGTTGCCTGACACAAAAACTAAGTGCTCAACCAATGGTGTGAGTTTGGGGCAGGACTATGTGTTTGGCAGAACAATGGTAGATGGGTGAGTTTAGAACGGTCATTATTTTTTCAATTATTTCTGAAACACTAGCAGCACAGAAAATGCACACAAACATATCAAAAGTGCAAACAGAGTCAGTCTGTTCGTGATAAAGACGAGCTCACTTGTATCCGCTGACATTCTGGACTTGATAATGATTCGTTCACAGCAAA